GCCAATAAAAACGGAGGGTGTGCGCAGTAATTGCACCTGCCCATTGGCCTCATTATTTTCAAATAATGATGCCTTCTTGTGGACCTCCAAGTTTTTGGAATTATAACATTTTAACTCATAAACATGGTGGGCCGTTTGCGAACTGCCCTAGCATCCCTGCCACCAAGCTTAACAGGTTTCCTGGGGGAAACCCTCTACATGCGAGGTTTTTACATAGCCAAAACATTCACCTGCCTGAGAACTACCCAAAATATATCTGTGAGGAAGACGCAGCCAGACAGGAAGACTTGTGGATCATGACAAAACTGTTTATGTGAGTAATTTTTACAGAATAAGGCTCCAGCCGCTGGTCTTATCACAAATCACTATTATCCGTCAAAACATTAGTCAAGGATGGGCATTCAAGAGGAGACATGTCCGGGATTTCAGATACGGATCTTGTAAATCTTCAGGTAAAAGAAAACGGTTTAGTGAGGAGAACAAACATAAGCTGTTTTTGGGGACGAGATCTGCAGAGTAGATAACAAAACATCATTGTGCTGCCTCAGAGTGGCAGACCTCTGCAGGAGCGCGCTGATGGCCTCATAGCGTGACTCTCTCAGGCAGCTCTGGGTGTTTTGGAAAGCCTGTGGCTCACTGCTGCTGACTTATTTGTGTGACGCTGTTAGAAATCAGAGAAAAATGTGGAGTAGCTTTCCAAGACTGTTAAAAACAACTAGGGCCTGTTAGCAATCATAGTTGCCGTAGTAACACCACAGCATGTGCTTCAGTTTGATATGATTTAGTAATTAGGATATCCGATACATGCCAGCAAACTGCTCTGTATGTTATGGAAGTGAACAGAGACTATGAGGAGATTGGTGTGAGGGTCCGGTCGACTGGACCAGCGGCTGTGTTTTCCCTCAGCATCATCACATGTGAGCAGAGACGGCGCTGCACAAGGATTCATCCGGACTCGTCTTTCACTATATCGTGAGAGCCCATGGCAACCACTGGGACTCAGATTTAATCAGGTTTTCTCCCCCCCCCCAATTTCCATTCTTTGGAAGATTTATCCTTCGTCTGCCCAGCTTCAAACCGCAGCGCTACATTTCTTCTCAAATTCACTGTTACAGTTTGACTTTTCCAGAAAAGCTGTGTTTGTTTATGTGCTCAACCAGAATCAGCTGTCGTCCCTACTCGGAGCCTGGCAGTTGGATCAGAACCGCAGAAGATGCAGCGCTGCGTTTATTCAAGTGCTGCGATTCAGATGGATCAGGCTTCTGAAGGACTTGTTGTAGTGGTGATTACACCAGGCTTTGTCCATCAGCAGCCGCCAACATCTGAGAGCTGACATGTGGGGAGCTAAACTTAGAAAGCAAAGTTGGTGTTTTTGCCTCAAACTGTTGATGATTTCCTTCCTGTGAGAGCTGGAAGTGCTTCCAGACTGATAAGAATCATTGTAGTGACTTGTGCGGCACGCCCAACGCAGCAGACAAGAGTTTTACTTCCTTTGTCTCTGATTCCATTTCCACATTGCTGACTGCGCTGGTGAAGCAGGATGTGATGACCTGCTGCAAAAGACATAAGAGACTACAGGAAAACATTCTGACAAATATGGATACTGATCGCAAATTTAACTTGAAATGAATGGATATGAAAACGGACAGGAAGCAGAGCAGTTGCCTATGAGCAAGATAAGTAGCTGTTTTCATCAGCATGGATTATATTTTATTCAGTTTTATTTAGACCTGAGCTGCTTTGGGAGTTGAGGAATATAAGAGAAAAATCTTATCTACTATATCTTGGTAACAAACCAAAAGTATGAATTAAAATCTATACAAGTCATGATTACTTTTACATTTAAAACCCAAAAGCAGCAGTAGATGACCTAAATTAAATAAACCAAGTTTCCACATAATATAAATTTTGAATTGTGATTAAAGTTATGTATACATTTATTTTTTTTGTTTTGATAGCGATACATAAAGTTTAGAAAAAACTTTATTTTGTTAAACATAAAGTTTAAACATTGCGCTGGATGAATCTACCTGTTTGCCATCTTATATTTTATAGATAATTTCTTTTAAAGGTCTGGATCCTTGAACTGTGTCTTCCTTCTCTGAGCAGCAGACATGTTTTTCTGCTTCAGAAATCTGCTCTGCAATTTCATCAATCACACACTGAGCCGTTTTGTGAAACAGGAAGTTAGAGCTTGGTGGTGGTGTCGGGTTACTCTGAAACCCGATGGAGTCGGAGGGTCAGGCTGCAGGACGATCTGCGGCCTGTAAAATGCCTTTGTTTTCCTGGTAATGAGACTTTGAACTACCTGTTGCTCTGGGGCTCTCGGGTTTCTGATGATGCCAACCAGATCACAACACCTTTGTCTTAGTCATAGCTTTAAACAAACACAGATGTGGGTGTTTGCACGAGACGTTTCAGTAGTGACTCCTTCTGGTTTAGTCAGAGCAGAAAAGAGTTTCCTTTTTAAATCCAGACCGGGTGGTCAGCCATGCCGACATGTTGGTAAGCACATAAGATAGATCATCAGCTGTTTCTCTCTCCAGCTGTGGTGAAAGGTCCAGATGTGTAAGTGTGATCTCATGCTAAAAGTGCTTTTCTCTCAACCTGCACAAAAAACATTCCCACTTTAGAGGCAGCAGGAGATAAAACATCGTAATATTGTGGCTTGGATAAGCTTTGGTGGGTCGAGGAAAATGAGAGGAATGACTGCTGCTTTGGCTTGGGCTCCGTGTTTTTTACTGAGGGATGTCTGCTCTCACAGTATCATTACCCAGCCCTTTGTCCCGCTGCAGCGCCTCTACACACAGCAGCAACATACACCGCAAGACTGCTGGCAATGGAAAATGTTGTGGAGGAAGAGCACAGAGAAGAAAGAAAACAAGCTGTGCCACACAGAGGCCCAGTTACTCACAGAAACCCTGAACAGAACAAGGCACAGCAGTGGGCAGTTGTTTTGAAGAGTTGCAGGTTTCCATCAGGAAGGAGGTGTTGCTTGTTGTCAGTGTGTGTGTGCGTGCGTGTGTGTGTGTGTGTGTGCGCGCGTGTGTCTGTGCGTGGAGGAGGAGCTCTGAAAGGCCCTTCCCTCCTTTACAAAGTTGCGTGACTGGCCTGGTCAGCCATTCAGGGAGAGGCCGGATCCTGGGATCTTCCTGTAGTGGCCATCCAGATAAGGAAACATTCTCATTGGCTAAACTCCCTACGGACAGATTCAGAAAAGTGTGTATGCATGTGTGTGTGCATGTGTGTTTGTGTGTGTGAGTGTGTGTGTGTGTGTGTGTGTGTGTGGATAGACATGGTGGCAGATCAGTTTTCCTTCTCTTAGAGGTCTTGCTGAGCTGCACACTGCAAAAACACTAAATCTTACTAAGTATTTTTGTTTAGTTTCTACTGCAAATGACTTGATACACTTAAGATAAGACAAAACAAACTTGCAGTAACTTTTGAGCACTGCAGCTCGTTTTCAGTCAGTAATTCCATAATATTGATTTAGAAAAGGACACTGTGAGATTATTTCACTTATAACAAGACACTTTCTCCATGTCATAAGTGGAACTAGTCATTTTTCATTCAGTGCTTCCCAAACCCGGTCCTCCAGTTTCTCTGTCCTGTTTCCAAACCCTTGACTCAACAGGCTGCTGCAGCATTTGGTGGCTGCAGAGAAGATCGTTCAGTCATTTCAATCAGGTATGCTGGAACAGAGACTCATCTAAGACATGCAGGACAGGGCTACTTGAGGACCAGGTTAGGGCACCACTGTCTTAAAACAAGCTCCCATATCTTGCGAAAAAGTTACTGGTAAGTTAGTTTTGTCTTATTTCATGTGTATTCAGGTATTTGAACTAGAAAACTAGACCAAAACTCAGAGTGTTTTTACAGTACAGATGAGCCTATTTTATTGTCTTTGCTTCATAATCAAACCTATAGACTTTCCAGGGGATGCAGGAACAACTGTTGCTTTCAAAGACATAAACAGTCTGCAAAGCCACGCCATGACTTTATGGGAGGACTCGGAAGAACAACACATATTTACTGTTACAATGGAAGAATCTGGTGGAGATGCTTATTACAGCAGGGTGTGCATGTGTTGGAGCAACAGGAAGACTCTACTGTGAACATGATGCAACATGCAGGGCTGCTAGAGGAAAATGATCCACACTGAGAGGGGACTAGCATGGAGAAGACGCCAAGGCAAGCCTAAAGCAAACACTGAGCTGGTAGTTCTGTTTGCAGCCTGGGCAGGTTATGAGTGAACCTCAAACAAGCTTTCTGATAGCGCAGCCACCAATCATTCTCACCTTGGTTTTGTAATGGCAACAGTGGTCCGTGATGGCTTTGTTCACTGGGAGCTAATGAATGTGCTCCTCTGTTGACCATTCTGTCTGTTGACCATTCTGTCAACTTGCTTTAGTCTCGGAAATCTTGCAAAATTAATGTGGTCTAGTTGGAAGCAGGGCCCATAAAACCCATAGAGCCATTGGACACTGTAATACACAACACATTTCAGCACAGAGCTTGAGATAATCAGTAGTAATCATTATGTTGAGATTGTGTTCAGTTCACACACCAGGTCTTGATGCTCAATTTAGATTTTTTTGCTGGAATCAAATTTTTTTTTTTGTTTTTTTTTTTTGGCATGATCGTTCATGCTACTAATTAAACCGGACCGCAATGAGACTTCTGTGCACGGTTTACGACCGCATGCACAGAAGAAGAACATAGACGTCTCAAAGCAGAGCTTCGTTTACGGAAGCAATTACGGATCGCGATATTTATGGATCAGTTTTAAAGTTATTCCAGTGGGAGCTGACAGGATTGTCACAAGATTATAACAAGCTTTCTACAGTAAACCTGAACCTGAAGCTCTCCTTACTGTCTGCATGAAAAGTCATTCCAAAGGGTGAATGCAGCTTTTTGATAAAACAAGGTTTCATTTTCTGTTTTGATCATTTAGATGATGTCTGTGTGCTCACCACTTCTGTGTTTCTCCTCCTGCACAGCTTCCATGAAGAACGTTAACGGCAGCCGGGTGCCACTGGGGGTCAACGGGAAGAAGATGGACTCCAATGGCTTCTCTGAAGGAGAGCTGCTGCTGCAGGTGAGAGGACAAGTTAACCCCGTGGAGAAACGGTTACTGAAGTCGTCAGCGCTGCACTCATCTGACAACAGCTGGGTCACCAAGGTTCTGATGTATAACCCAGCAGCTGTGCCCAGGATCACTTCCTGATTGGACACTTTCAGCTTTCTAACTACTAACTAAAACAACATGTAAAACTGAACCAAACACATTACACTGGGAATATATTCACACCAAGCAGAAGTTGTTCACATTTTGTCACGTGACGATGCCAGTCTTCGGCTTTTTTGCCGTTTTATTTGAGATAGCAGCTACATGTAATGTGTAATTAGGATGTGGAGATTCATGGTAATATTTTTTTTACCAATAAAAATTTGACATGTGTAGCTGAGGGTCTCTGCAGGTTGCGTCGCATATCAACAAACTACTGTTTTTGCTCATTCGTCTTTCCAATTAGCTCAAACTCAGTTAGACTGGATGAAGAAAATAAATTTTCCATAGACCTTTCATTTGAATGTTGTTAGCTCTGAGCCATTCCAGTGCAGTTCTGGCTCTATGTTCAGGTGTGTAGTTAAAATCAGTGATGGGTAGGAAATAGCTACATCAGTCACATGTATTTTCATTGTTTTAATGGGCAGCTTAGATTTCAGAGCCAAGCTACACATCCCAACTATTTTGTCCTGGTTGAGTTTCTCTCAGTTGTGGTGATTCTGGCCATTCACACCATGTTTTTTGTGTTCCCTGTGCAGGCGCTTAACGGCTTCGTGTTGGTGGTGACATCTGAAGGAATGGTGTTTTACACCTCCCCTACCATCAAAGACTACCTGGGCTTCCATCAGGTGAGACAGAGGCCCGCCTGTCCTGCTTAGGCCGTGTTTATCACGCATTTCTGAGAAACCAGACCCATTCACTAGAGTGTTTGATTATTATGCTGCATAATTCATAAATATAAACAGAAATTGCTGCACAATTAAAAAAAAAACTGCAGAATTACTAAATTATTACCCCCTTTAACCATAAATTAAATTAAAATGTGATTAAAAAGGCATTCTGGCACTCTGTACATCACTACTGGTGCACAGTAGACACTGTTGCACACAAAATGTTTTACATATAGGGATTTAATAAACACCATGAGTCATCACCTGACTAAAGATTACAATATCAGCTTTGAGAAGAAGCTGCTAGTTAGCGATTAAAAGAATATTATTCAAACCCTACATTGTTTTTATTTTAATAAAATTTCATTTGCCTGGACAAATATCCTCATAAAACATGATAAAGTATCCATCAGTGTCAGCCATCTTTGTTTGCAGGCCAGACTTTCTAATATTCAGATCAGGGGCATTCAAATTCATTCAGAGGGCCAGAAATGGCCCCCAAACCACACATTGGCCCCCCCAGCTAATTTAGTCTCTGTAATTTAGTTTGGTTTTTAGACGTTACCTCTGCATTTGTTTTTTAAATCTTTTGCTAAATATAACCCAAACTGTTAGTATACTCATATCTAGGCCTATCATAACAATAACAGATTTTGCTTAACAATTAATTGTGTATTGTGTTAAACTATAATATTGTTGTTGAGGTGATTTTCTAGTAGTATCATGCTTATGGCCAAATAATGCAAGTTCATCCTCTTAAAGCTCAATAAACTTTAATTTCTAAAGAACATTTAACAGTGGAGACATTTTAGGTATCCAAAATAAATAAACAAAACAAAAGTAACAATAAGTAAGACACTGAAGTCCCTGTAAACAAAATTATCTTTAAAAAAAATCGGTTAGTTGAGATCAAAGCACCAAACTGAAAACTTTTGTCATCTAATCTTTGGTAGAAAGACACGAGAAAAACAATCATGCACACGGAAATTTTTAAGTTTGTTTTAATTTAGCATTTAGTTGGTTTATTGCATCGGGTTTAATCACATAATTTTCCAACTGCTGTTTGTTCCCTTCATCTCCAGACCAAACAAGCTGGATATAATCAAGAATTATCATTTTAACTTCACCGTAGCTCAAAACCCCTAAAAGTTAAACTGTTATGTCTGAACTCCCATGTTGCTTCAGTTCTGAATGTTGCCAGTAAGACCTGACGCAGTTGTCTGTCTCCCCACAGTCAGATGTGGTCCACCAGAGTGTGTTTGAGCTCATCCACACTGACGACCGAGTCATGTTCAGAGAGCAGCTCCACTTTGCCTTAAACCCTCCTCCAGTCGCCTCAGATGCAGACTGTAAGTGGTGACGGAATGAGCAAGAACCGTATGAAATAAGAACCACTATTTGACTTGCTGTGAGTTTCAGAGCTCCATGCTTGCTTCCAGATATATTTGGTCTTTGTTTCTGTCTTAGTCTCCCAGAACTGTGGAAATGCAGTGATGTACAACCCAGAGCAGCTCCCCCCTGACAACTCCTCCTTCCTGGAGAGGAGCTTTGTCTGTCGCTTCCGATGTCTCTTGGACAACTCCTCCGGCTTCCTGGTTTGTCCACGCTTGATTCAGGAATGAAAATAAAGTCCTAAAACCAGCATGTAACTCTAATCCTCTTTTGAAACAGGCTCTGAAGTTCCATGGGCGCTTGAAGTACCTCCATGGTCAAAACCTTTCCAGGGACAGTGAGAGCTGTAAAAGTGTCCAGCTAGCTCTGTTTGCCATCGCTGTGCCTGTCCAGTCTCCATCAATCGTGGAGATCAGAGCCAAAATGCTCCTCTTCCAGACGAGGCACAAGCTGGACTTCACACCCACTGGCGTCGACAGCAGGTCCGTGGTTTTCATTACAGAACAGTCGAGTAGCTCCTAAGAGCCCAGTACCATCTGCAAAGAAGGAGTTTGATTCGGAAGTCGTATCGCATTCAGTCGAGGTGTTTTTAGCTCCTGTGCTGTCAGTGAAAGGTGAAAGTTTGGTTGGCATGGAGACCAGTTGAACCTGTACTCTAACATCACTCTGCTTGGTTGTTTCTGCAGGGGGAAGATCATCCTGGGTTATTCTGAGACGGAGCTGTGTATGAAAGGCTCAGGCTACCAGTTCATCCATGCCGCTGACATGATGTACTGCGCTGACAACCACATCCGCAGTATGTTCGCTGTTCACTTGTCTTCTCTGCATCACAAACAAACGCTAAGTAACACTGACGTTTATTTAACAAGGAGCCACAGTGTCTTGCAAATATATTCACATCTTTAATTTGTTTTGATGGGGTCTTTACTCAGATACCTCAAAGTAAAATGAAGTGCAACCAGCTGCCTTCCAGTAGTCAAGTAATTAGTAAATAAAGTTCCCTAGGACAAAGACGGTGCAGTCAGGGTAATGGACAGAAAAACATCCCTGCTTGCAACAAGCATGAGACGGACAATGTTTCTCGTTGCACTAGTATGGCGTCACATCGGGCCTTTGGGTTTAATCCTGCCTTCGAAATGCTCTCCTGAATACACCAAACCATGAGCTAGCATACTGAGCTGTATCAACTCGTGCCACACTGATCAGTGGAAACAAGACGTTGGTGAATAACCAGCATCATGAAGACCAAGCAACACGGGTCGTGGAGGACGCTGTAGACAAGTTTAAAATCGGGGTTAGATTTTAAAACATCTCAAACAGCAACGTTCAGTTTACTATCTTAAAATAGTAAGAGTACACTTCCCCACATTAAAACGATCTACTACACCGTACTAATATGTATTGGTCCGTCACATAAAATTGCAATAAAATAAAACAAGGTTTGTGTTTTGCCACAGTTGACGTCGTAATCTGTCTTAAATTTAACTTTACGGTTTATTTCCTTCTGGAGAGCTATTTGATCAAATGTCGGCGTCACCGACAGTATTTGCCTTATTTGAGAACACTGTCAAAATGCCATTTTTCTAACTGAAAGTGTGTGTTTATTGTGACAGTGATTAAAACAGGAGAGAGCGGTCTGACTGTGTTCAGACTGCTCACCAAATCCAACGGCTGGATATGGGTGAACTCTAACGCCAAGCTCATCTTCAAAGGAGGGAGACCTGAGTTCATCATTGCATACCAGAAAGCTTTAACGTGAGTAGCTGGACGCACCGACAGCTGGCGGAATGTTAAATCTATCAGAACCAGGTCCTAAAGCAGCCGGGAGCCAGTCCTCATGTGTTCTGCCTTCTTTGTTTCAGCAACGCTGAGGGAGAGGAGTACCTGCGACAGCGGCGGCTGCAGCTGCCCTTCAGCTGCACCACGGGAGAGGCCATTCTCTACAACACTGGGCCAACCATGGACATCTCACAGTTCCAGTTTGACAAAATGTTTGACAGCGGAAATACCAAGAGGGAAATGCCCCCCACTTCCCTTCTGGGCTGCTTCATGAATCAGGATGAAAGCATGTACAGCCAGGCGGTGGACGTCCCCCTACCTGTGGACGAGGTCTTCAGGGACACCCACGCCCTGGTCGCTGTAGCCAGTAACGAGTGGCAGGAGAAGGACTCACCAGAGATGACAGCTGAACCCGTGCTGGTGAAGGAGGAGGCCAAGCAGTCAGTGCTGGCTGTAATCGACAGCCTGGAGAAGCTGAGTCACAGCGGAGACTTTGAGGACATTCTGGGGAACCTGGAGGTGGACGATTCTGAGCTGATGGAGATGGAAAACTGCTTTAAGAGGTTCCACCAGGAAGAGGATCCTCAGAAAAGTTCTGGCTCGGATCTGGACAACTTCATCACCGATGAGATCGTAGACTTTATTGACTTGGTGTTCAAAGAAAGGGTGGGGGAGTGCTTGGACAGCCTCACCTCGAGCTGCCTTACAGAGGTCAACAATTTCTCAACCTCTGAACTGTGTGAGCCACAGCTCTTCCAGACTCCCAACCCCATTTGTTCTTACTCCCCGGTGAGCAGCTGCTATGAACACCTAGATGACTCGGTGGCTTCAAGCCAGAGTCTGGTGGAGTCCGCGCTGATGGGCAACAGGAGCCACAAACAGTCCCAACAGGGTCACACTGACAGCAGTCTGCCCCCGCTGCAGCAGCTGCAGCTGCATGACATCTTCAGCTCGGCTATAGATCTCCCAGCGCTCACTGTACCCAAGAACTCAGTGACAGAGGCCTTCCCTTCTACCCAACCCTGCCAGAAGCAGCAGGCATCCATCATGCCTGCCGGATGTTCTCAGGGCAGTTCTGTTCAGGCCCAGCAGCTCCTGCAGCTGGGAAGCAGCATGGAGGGACCAGAACTAGCAACTGGCCAGATCCTGCACAACTCTGCTCAACATCCGAGCAACACGGCACCTGGTGTAAAAACTGTCCTGCCACCCACGATTCCCTATAGCAACTTCACCTCCACACCTCCTGGTGGCTGTGATCCAAAGTTTTTGCAGAAGGGTCTGGTGTGTGAGAACCACAGCGCTCCTGTGCAGCAGTGGCCTCAGAGCCAGCAGCAGACACAGACGCATGCTGGCATCATCCAGAACGGACATGAGTCCATGTCCACATTCCAGAGCCAACATCCAGGGAGCCAAACATTCCCTAGTTCTGGCTTCTGTCCAGGCAGCGTCCGCAGACCGAGACACCTGGAGCAAGGGGATCCGGGGCCAGCCAGCAGCCAGGACCCCCACAGCAGCTGCATGTTCCAGCAGCACTTTTCCTCCGACCCAGCAGGGGTAAAACTTTTATCTCATTATGGTCCCCCAGACCTCAACGGGGCCAATGTGACTCTGGATCAGAGTTCCAGCTACCTACGGTGGAGCCACAGTGAGCTTCCAGTGGGCCCCTCAGCCATCAACCAGGAGATGGCCAACATCGGCCCTCTGGCCCCTGGCATGGCCCCTGCAGAGGACTCCTGTAACGTACAGCACTACCTGGACAGCAACACACAGACGCAGGTAAACGGCCCTGAAAACACACCACTACAAGCACAGAATGAGCTCCAGAAAGAGATGGCACACTGAACAGCTTGAACAGTTTAAATGTCTCACTGTCACCCAGTTAGCATGTGATACACACTGGTTTAGGTTCTAACTCCTCTAATTCCTCAGAGCTCATGATCAAATGGTGAACAAGATTTTACTGTGTGGCAAGAATAATCAGAGCTACGACATGAATTAGTTAAAATAAACAAATAAACACAATTGTATTTCTAAAAAAATTACTTGGAAAAAGTTTAATGGCCATATTGTAATTAATGCCATGTGTTGTGTTTTGTTTAGTTTTTTTTCTAATCAAGCAGAGAAAAAATAAAATAAAATCACTCAATTTGGATTCATCCATCCATTATCTTACATCCTTATCCCTGTTGGGGTCTCCAGGGGAGCTGGTGCCCAACTCCAGCGGTCAACAGGCAAAAGGCGGGGTCACCCTGGACAGGTCACCAGTCCTTCACTGCAAATTAGATTAATTTTAAACCTAATTTAGTCTGGTTCTTTAAAACGTGCTGGTGGATCATAATGAGCTTGCTGATTACAGAAATATGAACTAAACAAGACGGCTGTAATCTGAGACGATGGCACTGGAACAAAGACTGGTCCAGACCAGCATACAGGGCATTGCCAAAGTCCAAGTGTGATGTAAAATATGCATGAATCACTCCTAGTTATGCCACAGGATAAGTACAGCTTTAGTTTAGCAAGCTGGAGCAGGAAAAATCTGGATTGAACAACTTCAGAGATTGTCTTTGTCCAATCTAAAAAAAAAGATCAAAGACAAAGGCCAAGTGAACGTTTAGAGCCCAGAGGCATCAGAGATGCTGCACACTAAAAACTAACAGTTTCTGCTTCATGTTGACAAAGATTAAGAAAATTTAAATTTGAACTTAACTAACATTTAGTTCAGGAGCTGTTGCATTGGACTGGTCCTCTCTGGTTCAACTGGTGGGTAACTCTGAATATCATCAGCAAAGCAATAGAAAGAGGGTAGAACCCACAGGGAACATAACAAAATATAACGGATGTGGACCCACAACAAATCCTTGTGGTACCCCTAAGTTACCAAGAGGAACTGAAAAGTTCCTGCTTGGTTTAAACCAGGATGGAACCGAGAATTTGAGCGTATCCAACTGTTCAGACGATGAAAGTACGAAATTATAATCCATGGCAGAAAGATCAACATTCTGGACAGATTTCAAACCAGACTGGAATTTTTTCATTGAGGCTCTTCCAATAATTCTGAAGTTGACTCAATATTTCTTTTGCCAAAATCTGAAAATTGTAGAGTCCTCAAGGACTCATTAAGATTAAGTTCAGGAAAGCAGAATGAAAATTAAGAATAAAGGTTTTACAGAGTAATGAGACAAAGGTGAGCTTCGAGGAAAGCAAAGAAAGACCCCAAACGGTGTTCCACGATTAAACAGAGTTTCAAGCCTGACCATTATGTCATGGTTGGGCTTACATGGCTCTTTCTGGAACACACTCAGTCATCTATATGAATGAAGTAGCAGAGCAAAGTGCTGCCATCATTCTATTTCCATCAACAACAAAAAAACACAAGAAGCAACTGAATGTAAAATCCACATAAAAAGTTTAAAGACCTGCAGAAATAATTATAAAATTGAATATTTAACTTTGGCAGAATGTTTGGATGCATTTGTTGCTCCGCCCCTTTGCTGACATGTTTTTCGTCCATTCAGCAGAACAGCAGAGTCTCCGCTCAGGCTCGAGGAATCTTCATCAATCCTGCTCTCATGGAGTAGAACGCAGCCTCGTCCATCGACTGCATGGCGACACAAACTCAGTATAGTTTGCCTGTATCAGTGCTTATCCACAACGCATATGTTCTAATATTATACATGTGTTTTATACTTCTTTGTACAATTACACAAATGCTTTTCTCTCTGCTTATCGGCTGTTGCTTTCGTGACGATATACCGTAGTAACAATGAAGTATGAATTTACAAGTGTGTTTACCAGGATGCAGATGGAGCCAACCAAAGATGTTTTATAAGGGAAACCTGAGCTCCTTCCAACACATCTGAACTTGATGTTTTATTGCAATCACTAAAGTTTTTCTAAAAGACTTAGTAATCTGGGTAAAAATATTGAACTGTGCCTTCAAATGAATAAGATATCAGATGAAATCTGTACATTTTAAATGAAACTGTCAAACTGGTTGATGTAATTGTATATTTATTTGTTTGATTTTTTTATGTGCCTTTTTTTTTAGGTTTGTTTGTTACATCAGAATGCTTTGGCTCTTGAAACCCCTCACATGCACAATGCATCGCCATATGTTCATCTCTGTGCAGTCTATAGAAATGCACTTCTTGGGAAAATGATTCTAGAGATTTTGTGTTTGAACATAAGCATCGATCAGGCGAGCACTCCGCTGCACCTGATCCCATCTGGACCTCACCCTCACACAAGTGTTTAATTGCAAGCTGCTTCTATAAAACCAGAGAAGACTGAGCAAACATGCAGCAGAACGTTCAGCCTCCCGATTCCAACATAGCCATTGAAATGTAAAATGGTATTTCTAGTGAAAGAATACCTGCTAATTGAAAGCATATGCAGTAGATGATTCAGCCCAAAATAAATGTATAACACCTTATAATGATCTGTTTGTATCTGATCCGAACACCTTCTGCAGCCACTATTTACTGTTGGACCTGAACTGATCCTGGTGGTTCTGAAATGTAATACCAAACACAACCACTAAGTGTCAGTCACAAACTAGCATACATTTTTCAAATTGTTGAGATTGTTGTGCTCAACATGCTTGAGGAAATAATTACAGTTTAAAAATAATAATCTCGAAGCTTATATAAAGCTGTTTTCAGTCCAGTAGGGGGCGCCAGGATATTTTTTCTTTGATTTTTATAACTATATATGCCTTTGTTGCTTCACAAGCATTTCTAAAATTTCATAAGTCGTCGTAAAAACTAAGTGCATCTTGTTTTAATTCTAAGGCGTTCATAAATCAGAACATGGTAAAAGAGATGTAGCTGTTAGCAAGTCCTGAGAATTTAAAATCTATCTTCAGGTAAAAACATAGTTTCTTCATTCTGCTGTAATTTATTAAATAAATGCAAAATGAAGGAGCTGTTGATGAACAACTAAGGGCGCCCTATTATTCAGTAGACTCAACATTCTCCCTTGGCAGAAATGATGCAATTTACACCAAGGATAAAATCTCACTTTATTGTTGGCTTTGTAGCCTAGCTGCAGGCAACTTACCTCACGAGGAACACTTTGGAGCGTAGAGGAGATCATAGGAAGTCTGATGCCTATTGGACTGTAAGGTGCCCAGCTTCTGTGACTGCAAAGGAGGCCCAGATCATCAGTCCTCCACCACTGTACTTTGCAGGTGGAAGGAGGTGTTGCACTGCTGGGAATAATGATCAAACACTTCTTCTTTGCCCATATGTGTTCAATGGACAGCTCTGGAAGTTTGGTGCATCATTTAGATGAAATTTTGGAGTTATGATTAGGGAGAAGAGAACATCTTCAGCTCTGTTGTACAAGTCATGCTTTCTCAATCTTTTCCTCATTGCTCTCTTTTGAAGCTGATCATGCTACCACTAAAGCATCAAACGTCTGCGAGGAAGCAAAGGCGTTGTCCCAACTTTTGAAATTCCTTGGAGATTGATTCCTGGGAGAAAGCCAGGTTTCCAGAATCATCTGAAAAGCCATCGCTCTTCATCCTGTTCCTGAAAAACTGTTGCTTTAAAACCAGGTTGGACCTTTGGATCAGTGGACTCTGTCGGATCTGGACACGTGCGAGTCCATTTTAAAACATCTACTCTTCCAAGTTCCCCCCGCTGAGATCCCTGCACATGGACTGGAGTAGAAAATGTTGTGATCACACTACAGAGTTCCAGCCCAGGTTGAAAAGAATAGTAACAAGGTCCTTTGTTCATCGGAATGCAAGCTTCCCAAATGCTCTGTGTGGCTGTGTGGCGTCAGGTTGTTGACAATAGCTTAAGAGGTATTGAAACAACGAGCAGATGAATGTGAGACTGGCTCAGACTTGTGATTCAGACACCAAACTCCAACACAAAGACACACCCAAACTTATGCCCTGTGCCTTCAGATAAATCCCAACTTTCAGCAGAAATTCCATGTTGTTGTCAGGAGAACGTTTTGCTTTGTGTGTACGTGGTTCTCTGTATCAGAAAGTACGTACGTCTGCATCTAACCAGGACAAACGACGACGAAAAGGGAACGGCGGTGTGACCTGATGAAAGAAAGCGAGAATGTAACAATGCCTTTAGGTCTCAACTTTCTTTGTTTCTCCAGCTTCTTCTACTCTTTTCGCAAAATTCTTCACACTACAGAACGATGTGGGGGGTCTCAAGAAGCCGAGCTACGTCTGCAGTGACATGGCAGCTTCATGGATTCCTGCTCTTCTGCAGGAAACCACTCAGTGATTAAATTTCCATCACAACTGTCATGTATGTTCATGCGTATATTTTAATGAAAACATTAGAATATGCAAATGAAAATTTGTATTCAGTGATAACTTAAAGATCTGATTGTTGAGGCCTTGTTCATGGCTGTTGTTGGAGATGTTTTTTGCTTCACCAGCAGGGGGAGCTCAGCTGTTGAACTCTGATGACTGTAGCCACTATGAAAAACTTGGAAGAGTCAGAGCCATGTTGGTGAACTAACATGTGCTCTGACAGCTGCCATATGTCTGCTCTTGTATTAAAAAAACAAGGAAAGAAAAATGTAATTGAATTTTATCTAACCAAGTACTTAAACTATATTTTTTATCATTATATAACATGGATTTGTATACTGTTGTATGCTTTTTTTCATAAACATGTGCAATCATTCTGCTGCTGTTTGGCTCCTTTTGCTTTGTGTGTTGTTTTCCAAGTTTACCAGAACCTCCTAATGAGGATTTTTCTATAGCTGTGGTTCTCAACTGGATTGTATTTTGTGGTACTCAGATGAAAAACATATAAGTATATATATATACACTGCTCAAAAAAATAAAGGGAACATTTCATTTAATTTTGTGTGTGGCTCCAAATCTAGGGCTCCATTGGTTAATAAATTTGATTTCCATTGATGATTTTTGTGTGATTTTGTTGTCAGCACATTCAACTTTGTACAGAACAAAGTATTCAATGAGAATATTTCATTCATTCAGGTCTAGGATGTGTTATTTGAGTGTTCCCTTTATTTTTTTGAGCAGTGTATATATAAATACAAATTAACCATGAGAAAATTACCTGTTTTAACAAGTTGATTATGCGGCTTCCTGTGAGCTGGTTTTAACTTGCATCTAGAAATGAAATGAAACCCAACTTAACTGTGTTTCAGTTTGAAAGGCTTATAAATTAAAAGATTTGGGTTAAAAAAAATCATACTAATGCTATTACCAACATATGAAATATAGTTGTGTTGGGCCTTGAAACTCCAGGTTTTCCTACTCTGTTCTCGCACGAAGCCAACTTTCTGTTATATTTTTCCAAATTAGTGACACAATCTGAGGCTTAATCAAACTGAATCTTTTAACAAGTTTTGATGCAATAAAAAAAATAAAAAAATGTCACAGTGGGGAAACCTTGTATGTTAGGTGATCAAGTGTTTGGGAACTAAGAACACTGCCATGAAAAAGTGGAGTTAAAATGTCCTCTAAAGTCAGTCCTCTAGGACAAATATCCTGCATGTTGAAGACGTTTGGTTCATGACTACTGAAATGACGGGTTTGTAGTAGTTCTCTGCAGGTTCTGTTAACCAGCCGTGGTAGAGCCAGTTCATAATGAGACATGCAGGACACTGTGTCTATGAGCAGCTTACTCCAACAATTCAGCCGTAGATGTTCCAAATTCTAGAAGTTCTAAGAAAGCAATAAATAAATAAATGTTTCCTCTTAAAGAAATAAAGTTTGTAGTTGAAATTGTTTCTGAGGCTGCAGTCCATCTCTTAGAACCACAGATTCACTCACTGTAGGGATTGTCAGTCATAAATGATGGCTTGTTTTGTTTTCTAAAGAGACGAAGCTTTAGGAATAACGGTTTTAAGGTGTCCCTTTAAATAAATGACAGATCATTTCCACCAGAGGGTTCCCTTTGGTCTTCACCTGTACTGTAAGCTGTTGCTTAACAAGCAGCAGGGTGCACCATGGAACATGGGTTATATCCAGGCCTGTATCCTGCAACTTTTATCTGTGACTTGAGCTGCTGACCCGCAGCCCCTGAGTGGCTGAAACTCGAACCCCAGAACGTCTGAGGAGATGCAACTTTTAGATCCTTCCACCTGATCCAGCTGAGCCTGAGATGATCTGCAGAAAGCTTTAAAATCCAGTCAAGCTGAAACTGCAAAACAGACCAGCTCCCACGACTTCCTGAAGACTTTTCACTCTGTCTCAGTAGTTGCTTGACGAGGATTGACAAGATCCCGTAAAACAGGGGTTCCCAAACTACGGCCCGCTGGCTGGATTCAGCCCGCCTCCTCATTTGGTCCGGCCCCCTGAACAATGCCAGAGAGCATTCAGTGTTTTTTTTCATATATATGTGGATTTTTCTTCAACCACCAGGGGGGCTCTTGAGCAGTTATGAAACTTAGTTTCCCTCAATGGAATATATACTAGTCAGTACCAGTCACCGTTTCGCTCACGGTTTTTTTCCATTTGCATTCTGTACAAACGCGAATATGTCGTCGGCAGTAATCCAATCTCCCCCCCCCCCGCCCCCGCCCCCCCTAGGCCTTCCCCGCCCGTCCCCGCCCCCCCCCCCCCCCTCCAAATTCA